ACCTAATGATGGGTGTTTTTGATGTCCACACAGCAACATCATTGGCGTCAGGTTAGTGGTCGAGACCCTTGTACGGCATCCAGAAAAACTACAATAAAGGTAGATACATTTAGTCAGACAAAGATAAACAAGTTTATGCATATAAGTTAGACAAAGTAAAGGTAGATAACTTACATCATCTGGCCCAACGTGGTCGATGAGGTTCCGGTACACAATTATGGAGTTCCTGGGACATCTCTGATAATTCATCCCTGGAACAGACCACCTAAAAAAGTAGAAACACAAATAAGTTAGCATCTAAAACGCATCTCACAAATTATTAACTTACAAAGAAACTTTGGTTGCTAAATAGTCTTGAAAAGAAACTTACTTATTGGCATACGAGAATGTAAACGGATTCCGGTTTACTAGAGCAAGTGTTGGCATCCTAGACCAACCCCACGCTTGAAGGAGATAAGTGCATGCATAAAAAGTACAGGAATTTTTTTTGGAATTTTTACACAGTGCACTATAAAGATGGGCGAGGATAGCTGATCCCCAACTATATTCGCACACTTTGTTTATGTTTTGTAGCAATGGTAAATACATAATATTTACGGTATTTCCAGTGTCCTCTGGAAATAAAAAATGACCAAACAAAATCATAATATAGCACCGAGTTTTGACTATTTTCTCATAGTCAGTGCTATCCTCACTTAAGACAATACTGCTGTAATGTTCTCTGAGGTATTTAAGATTTATTCCCTGACCCCTCGGGCGACCCTCGCGTTCTCCCTCAATTGCGTCCACACAAAGAGGGGCGCCCAATAAATCTTCGCAAAGATGGTCGTTAACACCAACTTTTCCGTTGACGGTCTTACCATTGATGTGTAGGCCAAGAAACATGTAGACATCTTGAAGAGTCACAGTGCACTCACCGAAAGGTAGGTGAAATGCAAAAAAATTCCGTTAAAGGTTCGAGACGATGAAGATGTGTGTAGCATGTTCCGCAGTCACGAGTATTCTGGTTTCTCAGATATCGTGTTACATGTTATGTTACAACAACAACAATTGTCTCAACAACTTGATTCTTCTCAAGCTTTTTGCGAATCTGATGAGGAACACGCTGAAGTCAATGTCATTGACGAAGAAGAAGAAGCAGCTGAATTCACTGTTGACGAGATGGTGAGCAACGAGGAAGAGGGGGTTCCACCTGGCCATGTTTATTGCCCACCTCAGCACATGACAACTCTCGACTTAGGTGGCGATGAACCCTCAACGGATATTTTCTACAACCCCAACTATGCAACAGAAGGGCAACTAAAAGAGGGTGACGAGTTTCATACCAAAGAAGATTGTGTCTGGGCAATCAAACAATTTCACACGGAGTTATCAGTCGATTATAGAGTCGATCGGACAAATCCAACGCGGTATACGATCTATTTTCATAACGAGGAGTGCCCATTCCGATTAACAGCGTCTTTCAGGAAGATAAGCGATTCCTGGAAGATAGGGTCAATGGGTCCGACCACACTTGTATAATCTCGAATCCGATGCAGGACCATCTCAAACTCAACTCTCGATTGATTTGCGATGAGATTCTGTCAGTCGTTAGCGGCAACCCGTCTTTGAAGGTCAGTACCATAATTGCACACATGGTGCAAAGGTACAATTACACTCCTTCATATCGAAAAGCCTGGATTACTAGGACTAAAGCGGTTGAAAGGGTGTTTGGAAATTGGGAGGAGTCGTAGAAGGAACTTCCAAAATTCCCGGTGGCTCTTAAACACTATTCTCCAGGGACTGTTGCCATATTGGAGACAATGCCTGCGTGTACACCAGACGGGATTTGCGTGGGTGGAAATGGAATCTTTCACAGACTCTTTAGGGCGTTTGAACTATGCATCAAAGGGTTTGCATATTATAAACCTATAATTCAAATTGACGGCACTTGGTTATACGGGAAATATAAGGGCACCCTACTCATGGCTGTGGCACAGGACGAGAACAACAACATCTTTCCAATAGCCTTCGCTATAGTTGAAGGGGAGACTGCTGGGGGTTGGAGTTTTTTCTTAAAAAATCTCCGCTTTTACGTGTCTCCCCAACCTAACTTATGTTTGATCTCTGGTCGGCACCCATCAATCGAGAGTGCATACAACAACCTTGATAACGGTTGGCAGGATCCTCTCTCGACCCACATCTATTGCATAAGACATATCGCCCAAAATTTCATGCGGAAAATCAAAGATAAGACCCTATGGAAGAAGGTTGTGAACGCAGGATATGCACTAACAGAACCCACATTCAAATACTACTGTGACGAGATCAGACTAACAAATATGGATGCATTAAGATGAATTGATAACATTCACAAAGAGAAATGGACACGGGCATACGACAACGGGGTGCGATGAGGCCACATGATAACTAACCTCGTTGAATCAATGAATTCTGTTTTCAAGGGAATCTGAAACCTACCGATAACTACCTTGGTAAAGGCAACATATTTTAGGCTAGACACACTCTTTGATAGCAGACGTACGAAGTGGGGTTCGGTATTACAATCGGGTCAGCTGTACAGTGATACTTCAATGAAATTCATGAAAGACGAAGCTGCCAAAGCCAACACACATGTGGTCACAATCTTTGACCGTAATAAAGGTTGGCTCAGTGTTGCCGAGTCGATTGATCACAACGAAGGAAGGCCTAGGGGATGTTACCGTGTTGAACTGGATAAGAGCTGGTGTAATTGTGGAAAGTTTCAGGCATTTCGTATGCCTTGCTCACATGTTATAGCAGCATGTTCGAAGGCACGACAGGACCCAGCCAACCTTCTTTCCCCTTTGCACCAAGTGATAAGTCTATGCAATGTCTACACATGTAGCTTTCAGGTGGTGGCAAAGGAGGACTATTGGCCTCAATACGAAGGCGAAATTGTCTGGCATAATGACTTGATGCGCAGAAAGAAAAAGGGTCGCCCTAACAGCACGCGCATTCGAACGGAGATGGATACCGCAGACAAGATGGTAAGATTATGTAGTTCGTGTCGGCAACCATGACACAATCGTACAAAATGTCCTAACGTAGAATCAAGCAGCAGACCATAGTTTCATATGTAACCGTGTCCCTTTAAATCAATAGCAAATTTCATTCCATTTTAAGCATACCTAACCGATTACAATTAGCAAGCGACAGAAATTAAACAAACATAACTTAATATCACAACAACATTCCGAAAATAACAACATAAAGACATAAAACAGAACAATGCACTAAGGCGTCTACGATATCACGACCATCAACGTTATCTTCTTTGGTGTTAACATCATCACAAGGACACCAACACCATTTTCCACTTTTCTCCATTCACGAGTAACTCCGTTTCTCCCAGCCTCCTCGACCAACCTCTCGATTTTCCTAATCTTTTCTCCTTGAGCAATATCTCCTTCTAGCCAGCAGTTTAGTTCCCTATGCAAATGCTTCAATGTCTGCGTATTCCACAGGAGCACCTTCATCAGAGGCTTTGTTGCTGAAAAAAACTAGGGCATTTCTTTTCATTAAATCGAATGTTGGAAAGGGTTCCTCCGATGCTGATGACGAAGAACGTTGATTTAGAAATGCAGACATTCTAAACTCCACTCCACTCAAAATTGTTAACACTTCAGTCTTTTGGTATACAATGTTGTGAAAACATATATGTGTTTGCAGTCGTATTTATAGAAAAATAAAATAGTACGTGCCCCATATGATATGTCTTAAATACCCTTACAAAATTTATATCCTTTAAAATTCAATGATTAATCATATGTTTATTATGTTTTAAAATTTATAATTTAAATCAATTTATATACTTTAAAATTCAATGGTTAATCAATTTTAATTTTTTATTTAATTTGATTTATAATTTAAAATTTTAAAAATATTTATAACTTAAAAACAATAATTATTATTTAAAAACTATATTTTAAAATAATATCACAATTATATTTATATTAAACTTAAATGTATAAAAAAATATATAAAATGTAAACCTAAAAAATATTTAGGTCAATTTATTAAACCTAAAAAATATTTATATCATTTTATTAAACCTAAAAAATATTTATTAAACCTAAAAAATATTGATATCAATTTAAGTTTATTTTTAATTAAACCTAAGATTATTTATATGTAAAATGCGTAAACCCTAAAATCATTTGCCTTGAGTCGCCAAATGAATGAGCAACTTTAATAAAGCCCAAGCTGTGTCGCCATTTGAATTAGCGACTTTACTAAAGCTCATTTTCAATTTTGTCTGTATCGCCATATGATTTGGCGACTGCATGCTAAAATGGTATTTTTTTTTTAAATACACGGTTATACTAAAAAAAAATTCCTTAAAATAAATGTTACTATATCTTTGAGGAAGAAGAAGATATTTTTAGCTATTTAATAATTTTATGTTTCATGCTTTCTACTTTCTCTTCAGAATGGCAACAATACTTCCCAACAGTGTCACTTTTGGACTGTGGGTGGGTCTCTTTTTATGATGGAGCACTAAATCATTTCTCAAAGATTGGTGTCAGAATATCAGCCATTTATAAAATTCTTTACCAAAAACAAAATATCCCCAAAAAAATAAATATAAAAATTGTTCCAGACATTAATAGATTCAGGAAAGAACTGTCTTGGGGGAAAACAGCTCTGCAGCAAAACCTATTCTTCCTCTAAAATGATAATGAGATAACATTACAAAGCAAAACTGAAGAACGAAGGTTTTAGGATGGAGAGCAGTTCTTTTTTCAATAATATGATCTTCCCCCGTTATCTATTTAGCTAATGTAGCTTTTGGGTTGAAGCATTGGATACCAGTGCAGGGAAAATACGATTCCGAGTGTTGGACGATATTTCCCGCAAGTACCTCTCAGAGCTGGAATTAGACCTTCCATCGATATACTTGGATTATGATCAGACTTCCCTTTGACAGAATGCTTATTTCATTAAGTGTTTCTCTCATGATTTTTTTTAAAACCTTCAAACTAGCCTCCCTGTGAAACCCGGCTACTCATTAATGCCTGATCCTGATCTTGGTGAAGCGGGAACACAGTATCAAATACAATTCTTGCAAAAACGTGTCTTATTTCTTGTACATTACCAGTAGCTAAGGCTTCATAATCAATTTTCATGCCTTGCTTTGACAGGGATTTCTTACCAGCACTCCTTTTTACACATTCGAAAATGCTGAATGCTTTTATATACAATCCTAATGGAATAACCACCTGCCAAATTTACATAAAGATTAAAAACATAAATCAAGAAATACTCATGCATTATCAAGGTTACTACACTTTGTTAAAAGAAGACATAGCAAATAGTGTAAGTGTGAGTACTCTCTCTGTGAATCATACCAACGGCGATTTTCACACTCTCCTTACATGTTTTACACATCAATGTGAGGGCTGACTATAGATGAGGAAAACGGAAGTTTCAATTTCATCAGACAATAAATAATAATTCGGGTATATAACATCATCGTGCAATCCATGTACAGGATACCATCTTAAAGTATATACATGCAAAACAAGGAAAAAGATGCTCACTAGGTATGAACGAGGGGCTTGAGGATAATCAGCCATAGCTTGAGACACAAAATGTTCATCAGTCATTTGCAACAGTGTCCCTCTAACAGACTCTGCAAGATCATTAACCCCAGTTACTAATGCCTCTGCATCCATACCAGAAGGATCTACTAATTCAGGAAATCTCATATCATGTGGCTTGTTGATCATTCCTGCTATCTTTACTGCTTCCAACAAATTTCCACCATTGTAGACTGCAAGGCAAAATGTAGCAACCACCAAGGGGTCCCTTGGTCGATCACTCAATGCTTTATGTAGTGCTAGGATCCCAAACCTGTAAGCATAGATTTAGTAATGAACTTTCCTTTGTTGACCCACTTGTAATTAACTTGTTAAGATTATAGTGAGTTATAAGTAACAATGTATATATTTGATGGTAAAAGTTATATCATGTTCCAGTAAGACCCGGAACAATTTGGATAGGAGATAAACAATGTTTAAAATAAATTTTTACCATTGACTGAGAGTTGGGAAAGGAGAACTTCAATCATACTCAAAATTACAATCACTTTTAAGCATTTTCAAATTTTGTTTGTTTAATATTTTAAAATAATAAAAATCTTTAAAAAATATTATTATATACAATGATTATAATGAGTACTATAGATGACAGAATATTAAAAAATGATTTTCCTTATAGTAATTTATAACACAGATTAGCTTCTAGTGTACATAAACCTCTCAAAATAAATCACTAGATTACTTTTTTATTGTAGAAGTCATTTTTCTAAAACCAAAACATACGGGTCTCAATTCATGTCTTCAAATCCAAGAACACATCGACATGATCTTCAAAGAAATCTTGACTGCAGTTTTAGTGCAGGTTATGAAATTAATCTCATTCTCCCGCATTTTCTCTTCAAAGGGAAGCACGGAAGATAAAGGCAATTTTGTTGCAAAGATCTTACCATAAGCTACCATGACATGGACGGTTTGGAGCGAAAAGCTTATCTAAATTGGAGAAGAGAGACTGCAATGAAATTCCAAAAGATCCATTAAACAATATGTCAATGTGGCTCTAATATGATACATGTTTTGAAATAATACCGAAGCAGCAAAAATTATTTTTCCTCGTGGACATCTAAGACAAGAGAGCTTTAATGAATAGGTACTGTGTAGGAATGCAATTGTGCAATCTATTATATACAGAATGGATTTAGCAGGCTTGTGGCATAGACCGTTAAAAATAAAAAAAGAATTACTGTTTTAATAGCAGTGTTGTGAAAACCAGGAACTGCTAGTCTAGCATTTGGTTCAACCAGTTCATTTAAAAAAAAAGAAAACTCATTCTTGTTTCTTTTATTAGTCATCAAATTCAACAATAATTGAAACAATTGAGCCATGACCCAGAAGTCTTACAAGTTCAATCTCTAATACTTAATCAAGGCATTGCTAAGAGAAACGCTATTTGGACAACATTTTTGTTGTCCGACACTGTATGTTTATGTGTGCCTAACTGTATGTAAATGTAATGTGGTACAGAATCATATTCATTTCCAATCAAGGACATCTTTTTGAAGCACAACTTCATAGACAGGACTATAAACAAACGAATTACTGGGTTAGTTTATGAAGCATGATCTCTTGAATGCTTATTCAGAAACCTTTGCATGGAAAACCCCAAGAAGTATTGAAGTTACCACTTACCAAAAGCATATTGGTTCTTTTGCCCCCCCGTCGAAATCCATGATGAGCAAAATAGGCAGCCTGTAATGTTCAGTCTAAGTAAACTTTCATTACATGATTGACTCAAACTAAATACAAAATGAACATTTACCTGGAAGGGAAGAAGTATATCTAGCAGTCCGTACTTCCATAATAGCCTCAAAGAAGCTTCACCAGAACCATAAGCTAGCATATAGTTCATTTCCATCAGAAGTCTAGACTGAAAAAATTATAGAAGAAAATAATTCAGCCAGGAAATTGGTATTATAGTGTCACATGACAAAACAAAGAACAAGACTAAATACCTTATCAAGTTTTAATATTGAACAAGACAGATTCTTAATAAAATGAGCTGTTTCCTTAGAAATACTAAATCCTAAGCGAGCAGCAATTCTAATTGCACGTAGAATGCGAGCTGCAGAAAGGAAAACGAAGTCAAACATTGTAAGCTAATTAAAAGCGTGGGTGATTCCAAAACGGTTTACAGTTACAGTCTATAAAATATAGGAAATCAGGATGAGGCAGTTGATCAATAGAAACTCACCACAATCTTCCTGAAATGAAATATCTGCAGGATTTATAGTTCGAACCTATTCATACAGAGAAATCAGTAAAAATTCTGCTTGGCAAAAGAAATATAAGAAAAATGGTTATTAAGAAATACATGCACACTTTAGCTTTTCTAATATCTTCTATTCCTCCCAAGTAATCATATACAATTCTTGCATATGGGTCAAGCATCAACCTGCAGGAGCATGAAGTTAGTTAACAACATAAAGTGCGAATTTAAAATCAGTCAGAAAAGTTGTGGAGTAGACAAATGGTGAACACATGCAAACCCCCCCAAATAAAAAAGGTTCAAACTTCCAAGTTGCACGAACAGGTACACTACCCATTAATTGTGAAGTCCCGGTTTAAGCAGTTCATCCACCGAAGAAAGTCCTTCTCATCACAACCATTTGGTGTTTCTGTATGATGAGAGAATTCCACACCCTTCTTGCGTCTAGCAGTGTTAAAACTTGACACCTAATTGGATGGGAGATAAAATAATCAGCGGAAACAGCAATACAAGAAAATGGGACTTAAATAGAAAAATTCAAACAAGCATTATACTATATAAATATAAAGTTCAAACCAAAGCTAAAATTCTCTAAAGATAAACCAAAATATATCAACCTCAATAATGGTACCATCCATGTGAACATGACATATAGGGAAGCGTTTGCCAATTATCTCACACCAGGTAAATACTTTTGTCACCTGCAAATTGAGTCAATGTTTGTCATGAAATCTTACGTGGTATCACTCTCTTACGCAAAGCCAAATGCTAATGTAAGGACAACTATAGCCCCTTGTAAGTTGCAACAGTTATTTAATATTTCAGCTCAATCTATAGATATGTCCAGCAAAGTGAAAATTAAAACTGCGAGTTCATGAATAATTTTTAAAATAAAAATAAGTTACCTCTTTTAGCCCAGCTGAAGTTATAATATCGAAGTCCTTAGGTGTTTTCTTTAGAACAAGATCACGTACACAACCTCCTACTAGGTATACATCATATCCTACGACGAGAAGAAAATAATTTATTAACATTTCGAAAGGATGCACAACAAAAGAATCTACCAAAAGCAGCAAAACATTATTATTCAATAAACAGTACCATATACATATACCATATGGAAGATGAAAGGAAGAGCATTTACATTATGATGAACACAGTATCAATGTAAAAAATCCATGGTTAAGAAAGACACGTGAAATATACCTCTTTTCTTGAGTCCATTAAGAACCTTCCTGGTAGTGACACTAATCGATGAATTATGAATGCCAAGCTCTTTGGAACCAATCCTTTTCCATTCTGGGGATTTCTTAATTCCTTCACCAATTAAACAATTCTATAATACACAATTCAAAACTTCAAAAAAATTAAAAATTGAAAACCATTAGTTCACTATTAACAACTGAGTTGAGTGCTTGACTTGCCTTCTTCATGAACTGAGCCACCGCCATTTTCGTTTGTGAATTTCTCTGCTGCTTTAACCGCAACGACGGATTTTGGCACAACCTTGAATGAAATGAACGATAGAATATGGAAAGAGGTAAAGAAGATTGGAGATAGTAATGTACATGAAGTGAACCGAACATGAAAATTGTGAGATGATAGGCACCTTACGAACGTATTGGAAAGGAGTAGAACGAAGATGAAGAGTGGGTTGGCGAACGAATTTGAAGCCAAGAACCGCCATGGTAATCAACGGTCTTTGAATTTAGATAAAGCTTTGCAAGTTACATAGTTAGCATTGCGCATAGGGTTTGGGGTTTAAGGAGCAGCCTATTTTCGTTACATAGTTAGCATTGCAAAAAATTTATCCCATATTTATACATTTATCCTCGTATCTCTACGATTTTGTAAATATTTAAATTTTACCCTTTCAATCTTTTTTTTTTATTTTTTTACTGCACAAATCAAAAATAATTGTTTAAAAAGTACACAACACGTGTCAGAAATTATAGGTAAAAAAATCCGGAGTGTATTGTTATCAAATTAGAAAACTTGATGATCGTACATTTAGAGTGCAGTTTTACTAAATCGGATAACTTGTATGATAGTTATCTGGTTTGTTTTTAATCACAGAAACTTTTTAGATAACATTGCCACAAGTGGTCCGGTTTGTATTTTTTATACTTTCGAAAAACTTGTGTTCGAAGTATTCCAGTTGAGTTATGTTAAGAACCGGATAACATACCCATAAGAGTTTCGGAACATGTTTTTGTATTTTTTTAATTAATTTTTGTTACTTATGTTAGGAGATATGGACATTCCTTTGATGATATACGACAAAAACCAGATATCTGTAGATATGACGGAGATATTCTCGACTACAAAAAAAATTTGCTACACGAGAAGAGGCGACTAGGTGGATTAGGAAGATTGAAATCAGAAATAGAGTCACTATTATAATAACCCGTTCGTACATCAAAACTGGCAAGAGGGGAAGAAGTGACAGTTATATTTGGTTGTGATAGAGGTGGAAAATACAAAGAAGAAGATAGTGAAACACAAAGTGCTACCAAGAAATGTGGTTGTCCATTCGAAGTTAGGTCAACACCTTCTAAAGATGGTTCTGATTGGAATATTGACGTAAAATATGGACTTCACAACCATGGTTTACCTGATAGATTTGAAGATCATGCGTTTGTAAGTCGATTTAATGCTGATGACCAACAACATATTGCTGATTTGTCAAAATGTCATGTTCCACCAAGACACATATTGTTGACAATACAAGAACGAGATCCGAAGAATGTGACTCGAATAACTCAAATATATAAACATAAGAGTAAGATTCAGAAAGACATCAGGGGACCTAGAACGAAAATGCAACAGTTGTTTAAGTTGATAGAAGATTCTGATTATGTTTATTGGAGTAGGAACAAAGATGAGTCTGAAGTTGTGAGAGATATTTTCTGAACGCATCGAGAATCAGTGAAGTTGTTGAATATGTTCCATATTTTGTTGATTATGGACAATACTTACAAAATAAATAAGTACAGACAACTTTTGTTTGAAGTAGTTTGTATGACATCAACTGAGTTAACATTTGTTGTTGCATTTGTCTATATGGAATTTGAACAAACAGAGACTTTGTGTTGGGTATTAGATAAGTTGAAATAGTTGTTCACTAAGTAAGGGTTATGGCCACAAGTGATTTTAATGGATAAAGATCCTACTTTGATGAAAGCAATTGAAAAATTATTTCCAATGACAGTTAATTTGCTTTGTCGATTTCACATAAACAAGAATGTGAAAGTGAAATGCAAGGAGTATGTTGTGAATGATATGTGAGAGCTGATAGAGAAACTATAGTATGAACTTGTAATGGCTAATGATGAGGTGGAGTACAATCAAAAGTTGCAATAGCTTGAGCATGCCTGTGTTGATTTTGGACCTTTTCTTGATTATGTGAAAGACACATGGTTGATGCCTCACATAGATAGATTTGTTGAAGCTTGGATCAATAAAGTGTTGCATTTGGGTAACACTACGACTAACAGGTAATGTGTTTTCTTTTTAGCCATAGTTTGTTTATGTTAATATTAATAATACTGAACTTCTTTTTTTGTTAGGGTTGAGCCTGCGTATTAGAAATTGAAGCAGATGTTGGAGAACAGTTTAGATGATATATGAAAATGTTGAGAGGCTATGAATGGCAACATCAAGGGGCAATTAAGCAATATTAGAGCTTCATTTCATAAGAGTTTTTATGAGGTTAAGCATGTACACAATAGTGCATATTATGGGAATTTAAGTGGATCGATATTTAGAGCTACTTTGAGACACGTTGTTGAAGAGTGGCATAAGGTTGACATGATGGGTAAAAACACCAAAGTGTGCGGGTGTACTCATAGATAAGTATACAAGTTACCTTGTGCTTGTGAGTTAGGGAGATACACATTAAGTGGTGAATCAATACCAATTAATGTTATTCATATCCATTGGAGGAAACTCAGTATGCAAGGTGAACAAGAGGTAGACACAAAGGATGGAGCAGAGGTGGACATGAAAAATGCAATTGATGCACTGTGGAAAAGGTTCAAGTCATTAGATGTTGCAGGAAAGAGAGCACTAAAAGCAAGGTGTGTGAAATTGCTTACCCCACTACAACAAAGACGGTTCCACCACCTGAAAAAATAAAGACCAGAGAAGGAGTGAAGAGTAAAGGAAAGAAACCTGTGGGATATGATGTTTATCGTGATCCTTCATATCATGAGTATATTGATCAAGCACACAACAATTCTCAAAAATCTTCAAAGAGACCATGTTCACAGTTATCCCAAACCTCAAAGAAGAAACCATCTAATAGGTACATTGTACAATTTCTAAAACATATCAGAACATTTATTGATGACATTCTTGATGTTAAGGATTATGGAAATTGTGGGTTTAGAGCCATTGCATGGATATGGTGAGGATGGTTGGTCAATGGTTCATCGTGATTTGGATAATAAAACCAGAGGTTCCAGAAACAGTCTTTATGAGAAGTTATTTGGAAGTCGCTTAACAAAAGTGAGATAATCCTTGTTGATATCATCTTTAGGTTCCCATCCAGTAGATAAATGGATGACACTACCAGATATGGGTTATGTGATAGAAAATCGGTATAACGTCATTCTTGTCTCATTAAGTGCTCTTAGTTTGAGTTACTTCCCTATGACGACTTCACATAATCCTAATGTGTCCATTTACTGCATTGGTTTTGTAAACTCAAATCGTTGGGTTCAGGTAAATATTCTAGTTTTTATGTTAAATACTTATCTATGATTTACGTCTTATTAATTTTCTTAACAGGTAAACATGAATGAAGGATTTCCCTTGCCACCGGTCACAGTAGATTGGAAGAAGCATCGCACAGCAGATGCAACATCTTGGATAATAGGATTTGCTGGACGGTTACAACATTGGCAACAACTTACACATGTGGTCCCAAAACATGTTATTTTATGATTGTAATTTGAGTTTTTATATTTTGGATTGACGATTGACTTCATGTTATATTTTGGTTTGTGTTGACGATTGAATTCATTTTATATTTTGGTTTGTATTGACTATGCTTTGTATACAACATCAATCATAATATAAGTATGAATAATACTGCATAAATGTAAATCATAATAGAGCAGTACATAAGTCTGACGAATACTATAAAAGTATGAATAATACTACATAAGCCTGAATATAAAATAATACATCAAGCATCATCATCTTGACTAACATAAGTTATCAGTCCGCCCTGAGGTACCGGTCCACCCTCAGCTATACGTGGTCTCGAAAGACCTCAGCAAAATCATCGTTATCCTTTTTCGCCTCGTGACGATACAGATAACAATGAAGCTCATGTAAAATATGTAACAACCTCGAATTTGACGGTCCAACATCAAATGCAGGAACAAGGACCTCTCTGACCTCCCCCCCCCCCCCCCCCCCCGAGGTAGTGGTACCAAACGAGGATGTGACACTCTGTAGTACCAATCCAAGTAATCGACGACCGCATCATATGGAGTATCACCAAACTCGGTTGGACGAATCACATCCATGACGCTCACATGGTATGTAACCCACTTAAAATCGACATCAAATGTGTCAAGATCAGGAGGTGGAGATGGTATGTACTGCCTGTATCCAAACTGACGCAAACATCTGCTAGGTAAATAAAGAACAAATGTACCATACCATTTCAGGTCACGCCTGTATAAGCAAACATTATCAAATGGGCGGTGTTTTCTATGATCCTAAAAATGGCGCCAAATGACATCAGCGGGTGTCAATCCATCAAACACAACCCTTACCTCTTCAACCTTATGCGTGCCTGTTAGAACACAGATTGGTTCTTAATATATCTCAATGTTTTGATGATAACAATAATGAAATTTTTTATGGAGAAAATATATACTCTAATTTTGTTCAATTGTTTTTGTTTCAGATAACATAATAAATATTCCTCTGAACGTTAAGCTACAACACGCAAAAGACTCTGAGCGTTTGGTAAAAAGCGAAGCTATAGAAGGCTCTGAGCGTAGAGTATAAAGCGAAGATTCAGAAAACTCTGAGCGTACTAAACTCAACGCTGCAACTGCAGAGGCTCTGAGAATCAAAACATGTAAGGCTCTGAAACATTAGTAACAAAGTGATACATTTGGATAACACGGATAACACGTAAGAGCGAAGATCTGCTCTGATCTAAAGCGCTAATCTGAATGAACAGTTTGTTAAAATAATCACGCTAGCACTAAGCTGCAGAACTCTGGAAGAGAGTTACTCTGATAAGAAGAAAATGGAACATCATCAGAGAATCTGATGCAGAAAATATTTCCATATTCGTTCATTTAAAAAGATGTTGATCAAGAAAGATTTGTTGCCAAATTCATTGTCTACATCCAACGACACTATTCCTCTTTTGTGTATGGGATAAGATTGCAGAACAAAAAGGATATCTCTAAACATTCCTCTCCTGGAAAGAAATAGTCAAAGAAGACAAAAAGCATGTGCGCGCTATTTGAGAAATGGGTGTGAAGTATTTAAACAAGTTTTCAACAGCAATTCAATATATAACATTATTCTACAACGAACATACTACTTTGCTGAAAAGAAAATCCTACTTTGCTATCACTTCCAAGTCAACTTCATATTAGCAAATATAAAGTTTCATTGATCTTCATTTGTGTTAAGTCACTGTTGTGAAAAAGA